TCCAACAATACTTCGAAACTAAATATAATTAAATAAATATAATTAATTCAATATGTTAATACATTTCAAACTTTAATTGGTCATAGAAATAAATATTATAATAAAAATTAAATTAAAAAATTTAATGATTAATCTAAATATCATAAAATATATCAACATACCATTTGTCGAATGCGATGGAAACTTTTGCCATGAAATTGGAACGCCTGCTCAAATAATACTTTATCTTCAACCGTCCACTCGTCAGGAAATGGTGTAAAGTTTGCCAAATCCAGGACTGCGCGTTCCAAATTATGCTTATGCCAAAATAACATTCCCAATGCCTGTTCTCCATTATAACCATATTTTTCTTTAGCTAATATAATGTATTCATCCACTGAAAAAGGCAATATGCATTAGTCATCAATATATATTTGTTTATACAAACTAACTTCCTTAAGTTTATAGCTTACATTTTTGATCTGGTATATCCGTGGTAGGTGACCAAACTAATAATGCCCTATCAGGACACTGATCCAATCGACGTTCTGAAATACATGATAATATAAGTAACATGATAAATAAGTTTTGTATGACTCGCTAATTAACAGAAGCATTACAAGGTCTTAAAATATACGTTCCAGCATAGAGCACAAAATTTGGAGGGGTATAAATTTTAATAAATAATAATTTTTAGAGTGTCCAAAAATTGATTACTCCATCTATAATATTGTCTATGTCCCTATTCTAGAGCTAAAGTTCTAGAGCGCTAACTTTCAATATTCACTGCTAATAGTGAAGATTTATAGCAAATTACACTATAGATTTTTAACACTAGCAATGAATAAATGAGTGAAACTTTCTTTTTTTTGAAGAAGGGAAGGATTTATCATGATTGTTGGATTTATCATGATTGATGTTTCATATATCTGCAATTGTAGGGTACAAAAGCAAATTCCAATATAAGACACTCGTAATGCCTCCACTACTTAAATTAATATTTTTAATATCATAAAGATCATGAAATACCATTAACAGGAACAAATTCTGGAACGACGACTTGATAATCTCGTCCAACTCTTATCTTTTCTGCTGGAACTTTGAGAGAAAAACTTTAGTATTCCAACTAATTGTATAGTCATTAAAAGGTAAAAGATATAATTATATCTGTCGCATTTGTTTTAATGATTGAAGGATTTTAGTAACAATCTCTACATTTATTCATTTTAATTATTTTTCATTGAGATTTCCATATGTAGCAACATCATCTTAATATATTCTCATTGCGCTGTTATAAGAATTTTTTTTTTTAGAAAACATACAAGAAATAAGTTTTGAAAAAAATAAATTTTTCAAAAAATATTTGCAATTCCAAAAGACATTTGAATGGTGAGGAATTATTTAAAGACTCTTGGATTTTTAGTGTTTCAGTACGAAACCGTTCATTAATTCTGACTCAAAATGTTCCTCAAGTATTTTTCATGTACAATTAAACCCGGTAATCGGTAATTGAGAGAGTCGCGCATGAGATGAAAATCGACGGTACCTCCTTCTTCTTCACTGGACGAGTCAGATTGTACGTTAGGGCTGGGGCCTCGCGATCGACGGCCGTTACGCACATTTTCCGAATTTCTCTCTGCCAAGACCATCACGACGTAAGTTTTCTCGTCGGACGGAAATCGCAACGCGTTAAATCGCGTGGATTCGTCGGCGCCGCAGCAAGCAGGACGCGAGATGCGATGAAGTCCTTCGCAAATGCGTCTGAATCAGTACCCAACTGCTCACGTTCACAATTCTTCTCAAAACTGCATGATAGTATGGAGAATTCGACCGAGATTCTCAATTGTCGTTTCGCGCGATCGTAGCGAAAGTAAAATGGCCGACTACCACGCGCGACCTCATTGGTCGGCGTCGCGCTTGGGGAAAAAAATGGCTTGGCCAAATTTCTCGTAATAACAACTCGCGAAGGAAACGAGTACCGTATGAAATCGTTCGCGTTTCACGTTTTCGTTTCCTTTATACAAAATTCTCTCACTTCCGTTCAAAACTTTGAAATCAGTGTGCAGCAGCAAAGCCGATTTCGTATCCTCAAATAATGTCGTAGACCAGTGGACACGCGTATACGAGACTGAGTCGCGACTTGCGAGTTGATTTTAGCTTTTAGCATAGAAGACTAAAGGTACGTTTATATGGACTGATATTTTCCGCGGTAATGGTTCTGGCATATCAATGCGATGTGTGACGCGATATGCCTACTATACACTGGATACGATCGCGATGAGCGATAAACGGAGAGAATACAGACTCTTACTATCATACAAAAATTTTATTTGTAATCGTAAGACCTTAAGCAACTCGGCCAATCACAATCAAGCGTTTTAAAATATAGCAGTGAACATAGCAATGAGATAACAATTTTGATTATGGTTAGTTCGATTTACTTGAAACCTTATGATTACAATTAAAAATTTTTATACAGCATCTACAATAAAAGTAGCGATCGTAGGGTTTTAAGGAGATCAAAATTGACGCTTGATATTCGTCAATTTCTATCACATGATTTATTTTGACGCCGAAAATGATCTGCATGAAAAGGCACCTTTACGCTAAAAATGAAAAAAATTGGAAAATTATAGTTTTTTTATCGATTTTTAACATCACTCGTATATAATAATGTTTGCTTTATATAAGTGTTGTATGTTAACTTTGCTTTATATATGAGTTTTATACTTCGTATAAAATAATCTTGGTTTGGACTAGAGATTACATGAATAATCAATGTTGAATATTTAGTATTAGTTTTAGATACTTAATACGAAAGATTAGTTAGAAAATTTATTACGTATATATGTGAGTACAATATTGATGTAGTAGTATATAAAGATATGTCGATGTGTCGCATTTAATCGATAAATTAGCAATCATTCGGACTTCACTTTAGGATCCCCTTAAGTCAAAAAAATTAACCAATCACAGTCGAGTATGAGAAGAATATTACGACTGTAATTGATCAATTTTCTTCTATTGCAACTGTTATAAAATTCTTTAATATGATTGGCCTTGCCTTTTGTTCCTCATTGGATCTAAATCAATCATATTCAAGAATTTTACAACAGTTGCATAGCTGCTTTTTCTATTGAACGCCATTGTGGATACCGCGTTAGATCTAGGCTGTGTTCCATTATGCACTGCTAGCACTGAAAATCTATAGATCGATCATGTTACGTATACTGTAAATTTTCAGTACTGATAGTGTATATCGGAACACGCCTCTAGACGAATACAATAGGGAGCGTTTACTCAACTATTGAATTTGTTGAATGCAGCCAATGAATGCGTTCAAGCCGGACAATGTTGCTAGTCGCCGAATGATTGAATGTAATTGGTTGGATCTATAAGTAACAACCAATCATAATAATGGTTTGCTCGGTGAGCAGGTTAATCGTTTTGTTGATTTGAACGCGCTCAATGGTTGCGTTCAGTAAAGATAACTAATCAATTAAAGCTTAGTGATTCTTTAATATGATTAGTTCCTACTTAGATCCAGCGAAGAACTAAAGATAAGAATCAATCATTAAAGAATCATTAAGCGATAATTGATTTTGCTACTAGACGTGCTGCGTAAAAAATCAATTTTAACTACTTTTTCATGTTGACTCCATTTTTAAATCAAATAGGTCACATAATAAAAATTAGCTAACGTCAATTTTGATCAGCTTATATATACTTTGACACTAAGAATGAGCGTCGAGCGTCAATATGAAAAAGTATTTTTAAGCAAAGATTCCATATACTTTATACATTAAAATTGTATACGTCGTATTATTTAAAATTTTGTGTAGCCTATATTATATTAATTATATATTGTTGATCCGTATTTAAAATCCTCTTTTACGATATATATTATATATATTAACGC